GTTTATGTTGTACGGGTGAGTGTTATAAAGATTACTGCATGTACTTTTCTGATTTCGTTTCTTCCTTTAACTAACACACTGTTCAATTCCAGGCGATAGATCTAATGCCTCAAGACGCCAATGGTTTGGTAAGTTAGAATGTGCAATTGTCTTTAGTTAAGACATTATTTGATGTATTATTGTTGTTGTTTTGTAGGCTGATCCATATGTAATAGTATCACTTGGTAAAACTGTGATGAAGGACCGTGATAACTACTGTCCTAATAGCCTTAACCCTATATTTGGAAAGTAAGTTTGTTACAACAAAAATCGTTGCATCGCGACTTCTCCGTTTCGAAGTTTGTTTCGATTTTGTTCTTTTCTTCGATCTAAGGGGCGAGCTCTTTGTAAACTCGTTCAGTCATTGGCTTATTTGCAGCAAGCTCGCCCCAAAGTCGCATAAAAACCTAAATTCYAACGATTTCTTTTGAACATTGAAGTCGCGATGCAACGGTTTCTGCTGCAACTAATGTTTTTATCCAATTCCTAATGTCAATACTTCATGATTTACAATGTCTATGCATTCCTTTCAGGATGTTCGAGATAAACGCTACCATACCGATAACCAAGGACTTGAAGATCGCTGTCATGGATTACGATCTTGTTACTCGTGATGACTTAATAGGAGARACCATCGTAGACCTCGAGAATCGCTTCTTGTCTCGATTTCGCGCAAATTGTGGCATTCCACAGACATACTGCACGTAAGCTAATGGAGTCATTTTCATCCGTCTGTGAAATAGGAATTGTACTATTAAATACTATTCCCCCCTATTAAATCCCAATAGTTTAACTTATGACATGCGACAAAACTAATTAGGCAAACACAGTTTTTATTTTGCCTTTTGGTAGCCTACTACACCCTATTAGTATAAACATACTAATGGTCTATCACTCATACTGCGCTGTGATTGGCTACTCTACTAATGGTATAATTTGTGATAGACCACTCGCGGGAAATCAAAATAAATAAATTATAAATTATAAATCATTTTAAGGATATTTCAATTTTTTTCATTATTTGACGATTAGTATGTTTATACTAAAACAATTAGACCTCTCGGCCTCGTGGACTACGAGCTAATAGCCCATTCGACCTCGCGGACTCGGCCTCATGGGCTATTAGCTCGTAGTCCACTCGACCTCGAGGTCTAATTGTTAAATAGTTACTATTAAACACTGACTAGTAGTTATTGTTTCACAGACGGATGAAAATGACTCTACTTGACAATAGTCTAAAAGCAATAGACAATATGAGACACGATTCGTTTCAAACACAAACATAGATTCTCGCATTCAGTACAGAATTCAATCCACGAGTTAAATTCAATCCACGAGTTAAATGCATCTGAATTAAGATGGGGCGTTTTAACTGTAATATTTGGTTGTTATTCCAGGTCAGGGCCAAACCAGTGGCGGGATTCCCAAACACCAAGACAAATTCTTGAATTGTGGTGCTCGTCTCAAGGAAAAAACAAACCGCAGTACATTGGAAACACACAAATAGTTGTAGAAGATGTGGTGTATTTACTGCAAGAATTCGGTAAAAACTGTTGTATTACTTGTTACCGTCTTTATAATTGCTGGTCTTATCGTTGTTATTGTTGTTTATGTTGTTGTTGTTGATTTTGTTTTTGTTGTTGTTGTTGATGTTGTTATAGTTGCTGTTTTGTTGTTGTTGCTGTTGTTAAAATTCTATTGCATTTGTTATGTTGTTGTTGATGTTGATATTATTTTTGTTGTTGGTTTTGATGTCGTCGTTGTTACAATTGTTGTTGCTGTTGCTGTTGTTAAAGTTCTATCGTATTTGCTATTTGTTCTTGTTCTTCTTTTTTTTTCCGCTTGAAGATGAAAGCAAAATAGTTTGACTCTACTACCTGCAATTGTATCTACACCTTTCCCATGTAAACAAGGACTTTGTATCTGACCAAAAAGCATAAATTCTCGTCTGTACTTATTCCTACACAATTTTTGTCYTCAGAGGAAGGAATGACCCACCATCAGCACCTCGGGCCACCTGACCAGCGGTTAGCTTTACACGTTCTCAATACTCTACCAGTTGTTCCAGAGCACGTGGAGACGAGATCGTTGTACAACACACTACAGCCCAATTTTGATCAAAAAGCATGGCCTATAGCCCATCAAAATGGCTAAAAATGACCGATTTTGATGATCAGAGGAAGGAATGACCCACCATCAGCACCTCGGGCCACCTGACCAGCGGTTAGCTTTACACGTTCTCAATACTCTACCAGTTGTTCCAGAGCACGTGGAGACGAGATCGTTGTACAACACACTACAGCCCAATATAGAGCAGGTATATATAGGTGTATTATATAATGACAACCATACTGTTAGTAATAAGCCAAGCTTTTCCACTGCTCCTTGGCTTTATCACGTATTTTGGCTCGCAGAGCGTGTGATTTTCCACAACAGATGTAGATCAAYGAATTCCTTTGCTTATTTTAGGGAAAACTACAAATGTGGGTTGATGTCTTTCCAAAGCATCTCGGGACGCCAAGCTTGCCMTTCAACATATCACGGCGTAGACCCAGCGAGTAAGCCATCATTACAGATTATTAACGATTATTAATGATTATTAGTGATTATTAATTTATTGATCAATAATTTTATTAATTAATTATTTGATGAATAAATTAATTATTGACTCATCATTAAATTATTAATTCATCATTAATAAAATTGGAAATCTTTAGGTATGAGCTGCGTGTCATAGTATGGAATACCAGTGACGTCATCTTAGAGGAAACGTCAATCACTGGCGAGAAAATGAGTGACATCTACGTCAAAGGGTGAATATACTTGGCATTWAAATCGAAAGGAATAAAATACGAGGCAGTAGTTGAGAACAAGAGTCGATGAACTCGTATTTTGATCATAAGGCTCAAAGGCTTCAATGRATTTGCTCCTCTGTTTCTTTCGAATTTTTTTTTTACAATCCACTTCTTTAAAGGGAAACTGTCAATGGATGACATGCGCAGTAACAGTCTTGCCTCTAACGGACTTTGAAAGTTTACCTACGAGGTGATCGATGTTTTGACACACTTTGGAATATTCTAGATCTGTTTACGTTTACGTGTACTTTTTTTGTCACGCGTCGCGCCAACTTGGAGTCGTAAACTTGAAAACATTAGCCTAATCTTTTCAAGTTTACTCGCGCATGCATGCCATTGACAGTGTCCCTTTAAGTTGTTGGAATGTTCATATCAAATCAGTTTATAGTGATTTGGCTTTTAATATTGAATGGAATGAATGAATTGTCACATTGGTTGGTTTTTGTAGGTGGATGGCTGGAGCCGATGAGCCKCAGAAAACCGATGTTCACTACAGGTAAGATTTATACAACAAACAATGAATCTCGATGATCAATCATAGTACTGAAATAATCCAGTTTCGAATTCTCCAATGCTCTGTGTTAGCCTCACTTGTGCGCACAATATTCCTAATTGTGAGAATGAATGTGTGATTTCAAATCAATTCCATTGTCTTTCTTTTCAAATTCCATGCGTTTTCTCGGGCTATCAATAAAACAAAAGAATATGTTACTTGGTTTTGAGGCTAACACATGTTTTGAGGCTAACACAGAGCAAACCAGAACTCGAAATCGGAGTATTCAGGGATATCCTTTCTCAAGTAGACAGCTCTTAGGGGCACATTTTGTTTAATCTATATTAATTRACTTTCACGGCTCGAGCAATGTTTATCCCATGCCAGACCCTTTGGGAGTAGAATTCTTCGCTTTACTGCCATCAATATTCATGTATCTTCTCAAATATTAACGGAAAACAAAGAATTTATTACCAAATGKTYTGAAATGCGACAAAACTTTCSCAAGCAAAGTATGTTGAAGTTACTCATGTATTTATATCTGTTTAGATCTCTTGACGGAGACGGAAACTTCAACTGGAGGTTCATCTTTCCGTTCATGTAYCTTCCGGCTGAAAAGATTATGGTCGTACGAAAGAAGGTAAATCGTACAACAGTTTGTACAGTGTTGTCRAGGCTGAAATTATCAACGATTGCAAAGCATTGTGGTCACAAAGATAAATGTGTTGTATTATGGTCTGTAGGAGCATTTCTGGAGTCTTGACGAGACAGAAGAACGCGTGCCACCAAGCCTTATCATCCAAATTTGGGATAATGATCAATTTTCTCCMGATGACTTTCTAGGTAAGGTTGCTGATTCAAACAAACATCTTCCAACATTTCCTTTGATTGATGTTTGGTTCAGTCAATGTTTGATAGCACAATAATGTAAGATTATGTTAAGTAATGTTATTTTTTTGATTGACGGATTTCAGGTCAACTTGAGCTGAACCTAAACCGMATGCCAAAGCCCGCGAAAAGTGCGCGTAAGTGTGGTCTTCASCAGTTGCCTCGCTTTGAGGATACCAAAGCGAGTAGTACTCTCGAAGTGGTCTCGCTGTTCGAACAGAAACGAGTTTATGGCTGGTGGCCGTGTGTTGCAGAGGAAAGCATATCAGAGGACATGCAACTGACGGTAACGCGATGAAGATTAAACTATGGAATGGGAAGTGCATGGATAATGGGATGAACGAATGAATGACTAATAGTCTCCTTCACGGTTACGTGCGCCATCTTGAAAGGTAGCCGTGCCTTTACATTGAAGCAACACAACCGTCGAACTTGCAATGATAGATACCTGTGAATAATTGTCTGTAGGTACGAAAGAAGGTTTATATCATTGCACGCTCAACGGTCGTCTCGTTTCGATGTAAAGACATGGCTAACTTTCAAGATGGTGCAGGGAAACGTGAAAAAGACTATTAAATGGAAAAAAATGAACGATTAAATGAATGGTGGGATAAATGGATGGATGGGTGCATGGGCAAGTTATTTAATTCATTCTTGATTAAACTTAATCCTACGAATGGGCGACCAAAGGCTCATTTGAATCGATTAATTCATAGCTAATCCCCGTGTCATTGTTTCCATCAAGGGTAAAGTTGAAATGGCTCTTGAGCTTCTGACAGCCGATGAAGCAACAACAAAACCAGCAGGGCGAGGACGAGAAGATCCAAATCAAAATCCTACACTCGAAGAACCCAAGTATATTGTCTTTTTTATTGTCTTTTTTTATTGACTATTGTCTTTCTGTAATAGAGTACAAACATTAAATGTGTGCAACACTTTCCACTATTTACTACAAAATAGTGTTAATCAAACAATAGAAAACAATAGAATTAGCTTAATTTAGCAGTATTTAGTGATATTTATGTTGCACAGTTTTAGTGTTTTGTACTCTATTTTGCTTGCCTTACTATCAAACATTTTCATAGTTAACTCTTCGCCTATTTTCAATTTCCCTGCTTTTAGAAAGATCGCAAGGGATGATGGTCTCCTTCCCTACCTACCCCCTCTATATTTTTTCATTTTCTTCCTCCGAGTTCCATTCAGATATTCAACAATTGTTTTCAAACCATCTCTTTGTTTATTATTAGTCGTCCCGCTACATCGTTCCGTTGGTTTACGTCTCCGTTTAAAACCATACGTTACATCATATGGCGTAATTATAAATGGTGGATATTGTTATTACTGGTCACGTTATTATTGGTGGCTGCGGTGTTGGTCTTCCTGTACGCAATGCCGGTACGTAAAACCGTAAYGTAACTTAATGTAATGTGAGTAACATAGGATAGAAATACTGTTGCGGAGAATCTGAACGTATTGTAACGTGAGAGCGTTATGAGTAATGTAAAGGTTTGGAATTTCCGTAAGGTTAACGTGCATTTACTTTAACGGATAACGTTATTTAACTTAGCATAACGTAACGTACCTTAATGTAATGTGTGTATGACATAWTAGCAATGCATTGAGAAGCTGGAAATTTCCGTAAGACTAACGTACATTACAACGGATGACTCTAACGTAGCACAACGAAACGTGATACTACGTAGGCAACGCGCTAACCGCACATTTACGATTTTGTTTCAGGGCTACTCGGTCAAGAAGATGTTCAAAGTGTAAAGTTCAGTCGTTCATGGAATATTTCTAATAATGACAAAAAATAATCACGTAATATATAGAGAAATATATTTATGGAACTTATCGAAAAAAATATATTGAAATACTGAAGTAATTAACAGTTAGATATGCTCTCTTGTAGGGGGGGATTCTAAGTTAGGTGGTATTGAATGCTTGTGGAGTAGCGTTAGTCGCGTGATTTCTAGTGATTAGACCTCTTGCTTTGAAATATAAACTATTATGCTAAAGTAAGGAGGCAAAAGACAACGACGCATTGTTATATTTTGGACTTCAATTTATGGAAACTATAAACAGTGAAAAAACAACCCTCCCTCCCCCCTTCAGTAGTCAGGGTTTTTTTCACACTCACTGGAGTTAGCCATATTTTACTTAAAGTTTAAGGTTTACCCACAATTCTTTGCAAATGCACGACCACAATGCATTGCAATGCTGAAACTCGCAGGGTGAGTTCTTTGTAGATATTTGGTGTCGCATTGATGAGGGAAAATCCTCTTTATACAAACAGAATATGTAGGGCTTTGAAATCTTTATTGTTATCAGATATTATACAATGTAAACGTAATCGAAAAAACGTAGTCGGGTCCAAAAGGTTACGTCATTATAGCTAAGGCAGAAGGGCCACCATGAGTAAGAATATATTAGRACAGTAGAACAGTGTTTTAGAGTGTCAAACGATTGCCCGTCAAAAAATGAATACAACAGCCTTCTTTTCGAGTAATGCTTCAATGTAATGTTTAGGCAAATATGATTTGAATTTTTTCGTACTTAAAATCCCCTTCGTTATGAGCTACGATGAAATAATCTTTTTTGTGATACGACAACGTTTTTCCATTGTGGTGCATGTTTATTTACATATATACAACTAAATGAAGCTTAAAATTAAGTCACTATGACCGTCAAATTAATATTGGACATGGCAACATTTTCGCTTTATATGCCTAGTGACGTTGACGAGACGCCATCATGCTTTACTGTAACTATTATAGCAAGGTATGTCGGGAACGATTGGGAATTTCTCATTTAAGTTAAATTATTGAGTACTGAGATCAGTTATGTTAGGGTTGTACAGCAATAGAATTAATTTCTCGCAATACACAATTTGTGATTGGTCACATTTGGTGGAATACTAACATTTTTGTTTGGGAATTTTTTTGTTTGTAAACTGAATTATTTTTTGGTTTGTCAGAGTGTGTGAGAGAATTATCAAAATAAATCATAAATACAGCTGGAAATCCTGGAAAAATTGTTTACAATTCATAAAAACAGTGATATCAATATCAAAATCTAAAATACTGTCTAGTGCTATGTGTTGTTTATAGAACGAGAGTGCGTGTTTTATCGGGAAATATAGATTCCAGAAGCATTCGAGTTCTATAAACGACTTCTAGAACTCCAACATCCAGAAATTGTTATTATATAGGAAAAAGCTAGAATGTGCGAAAACAGTGATAATGCATATTGAACTTCTAATGAGCATGTGCATTGTGCCACAATTCAGAGAATTTTGATCCCATACGCAAGAGAACGGCTAGTCTATGTTTAGGTGTATGTTGTGCACATTGATTCAAACTGCTTGCAAAGGTCTATGATGCGACATTAAAAAGGCCGATTTAGACGGCACAAGTTTTGCTTACAACCATCGCATGCAACCTGCGTAAGTCATCCTTACAACACGGCTACAACTGCCGTAGGGATTTTAAACAATAGCCGACTTGCGAATTACGCATCAATAGTCACATACAAAGGAATCAAGACGAGGCGCCGTGCTTTTTTGTGAAAAATCTATTGTCTTTAGCACGGCGCCTCGTCTTGATTCCTTTGTATGTGACTATTGATGCTTAATTCGCAAGTCGGCTATTGCTTAATAGCCTCACGACAATTGTAGACTTGTTGTAAGGATGACTTACGCAGGTTGCATGCCATGGTTGTAGACAAATGTTGTGTCGTCTAAATCGCCCTAAACTGAGACCTTTGCTAGTGTTGGAGAACTATCATATGACCCAACAGTTCGATGCTCATTGATAACTCAAGAATTATTAATGAGTTCTAGAAGAACTAGTAGTCCACTTCCGTCATCCCATAGTCTCTGGTACTCTAAACAAGTCTTTATATAAAGCTAATGTGCGAGTTCATGCTATCTAACTCACCAAAATATAACAAAACGCTTCGATGATCTGTGCGGTCTCATCGGCAATATTGTAATTCCCACAAATCGCTTTGTCTATCGAAGGGCCAACACCAATGAAAGATTCAAAATTGTTGCAGTTGGAATTCCCAGTGCCAACAATACCGATTCCTATTCCCTTGTTATGTATCAACGTTTCATCTAGATTGAATCCTTCCCTAGAGAAATAAGAAAATAAATGAGATGAATACTTACTTGCATGTGCGCTAAGCCAGTTCGCACTATATTGGGTCACCAATCTACACAGTTACTGTCGCTATCTTTACATCCATTTCCATTATACGGTCGCTTGAACTACGTGCCAAGGTGTGTTAGTGTAATATCTATTTCACGGGTTTTTTGACTTTTTCTCCATTGAAACTTTATTTCTTATAGATGGCGTTTTGCGCTTACGATTACWCTTGTGTTAATGTGACAGTGAAAAGCAGTAGTTATGACTGCCAAAATGGCTAAGGGTGAACTTAACCTACTTTAAACAATTTTCGTTTAGAGATGGGCTGTGACCAGAAAGCAGACTTTTCCACTTGTCTTTCCCAAGGCTAGTTGTACTTTCACYGTCCTTCATAACATCGYACAAGGAAGATCCYTTGAYATCAATCCTTATCCAATTAGTGACTCCCTCGTATTTCATCCCAAGGCACAGCTTGTTCAGGGGGGTGTCACCAAATGCCGATGTTTTGGTTTCTTCTTCATCGAGTCCAGTTTTACTTGCTTTTATATTGAACTGTTCCTTGGTTTCCCAACGATTATTAAGTTCAGAGTATTTGAACGTTTTCTGAAAGACAAAAGAGGAGAGTTCGTTATTGCTTGATAACATGGCATGGTGAAGTCTAAAAATGCCGTTAAATAGATATTACACTAATATACCGCATGTGCACGATTTACTAAATACAACTATATAGAACTATTTAGTTTGTACAGTTGCACGGATTAAGTGCGATCACTCTAGAGTGATTGCACTTAAAGCGTGCAACTGTACAAAGTCTAAGTAGTATTAATTTGTACTAAAAGTGGACCTGAAGCAAGACGGTATTGAATGCTTCATTTATATCAATTTAATTTGCGTACCACATGCACGATTTATATGCTTAATACAACTAAATAACACAACTTAGTTATTTTCACGGTTTAAGTGCGACCACTACGCAAATTAAATTGAATTGATACAAATCAAGCATTCAATAACCGTGCAACTGTACAAAATCTAAGTAATTCTAATTTGCACTAAAAGTGGACCTGAAGCAAGACGGTATTGAATACTGCATTTATAACTATTTTGTAAGCTTCACCGACCTTTTTTCCATCGATTTTCATGGCCAAGTGCCACGTTCCCTCTCCACAAGAGAAATGCGAGAAAGAGCAAAAGACACTGTAAGGCAAGGTGGAGTTCAGAGAAAATAATCGATTTTTCTGCAGCAATTCGGTCCTGAAAAGTTTGAGAAGAAATTGAAATCAGTATGCTGGCTATAGCCTTGCGCACACAGTCTTCGAAAATCGAAATCGACTGTTAAAATCGACAACCAAAATCAACTATCGAAATCGATAAGTTTACACAGACTCTACTTGCTATAGTTAGTAAACAAGTATATAAACACTTAAAACTGACGTATTCCTCTTGCTGGTAAAACCTCGAATCATGATCAATTCAAATTTACCCATGTATTGCTCTTAACTACCAACACCCTCAGACCGAT